TTCATAACTCTTTGAAAAATAGACTTTATAGTATCTATGGAGAACAGACTGCAGCCTGGTAAGTTTTACTCACAAAATAACTCTAAGGGACCCTGTTAATGCAATAGCTTTGAACTGTTCAAGGACTGAGCTCACAATACAGACCATTGACATTAGGAGGCGAGATTTTTTTCTGATTCCATTTGTGAAAAAAAATGCTCTTTTGCATCTTTTGCTTTGGAAGGTATAATCCAATAAAGCCTCGCAAAACATTTCCCGAGAGAAATATTTCATTTGTATATAAATCCAAACTGTTCTTCCTGGCTTTCAGGAGATACAAAGGGTTCAGTGGCTGCTCATCAGAAATAGTCTTTTTGAAGAAACGTTTATGATTTCTGAATTAATTGATGGTTTCATTTACTCGTTCCTCGCTCTCATGTTTGTCCTGGGTAAAAGCCTACATTTCAACCTGACGGAAAGCTCACTGCTGTCAAGAGTCAGACCTGGCATGTTTCACTTGAGGGGCGACTGATTCTCAAGTAAAGGTGATGTGTGACGGCTTGTGCCCCCGTCATTGAGCACAGCCCTGACAATTAAGCCATCATTTAGCAGTCTTGCATGCCAGCAAGGGGTGATTTTGGAAAGGATTACCTTGCCATCTTTTATATTTGTCAGGGTTTGTTTTTTCCAGAAGCCACAATTGTCACACACAATAAAATGACCTTTTCCCATGATGATAATTTCCTTGGACAGCTCCTTCCTACAATTAAAATGTCCTATCTTTATTGTGTGATTCACTATCCAGATACCCCAAGGCCACATATTGGAGGAAGAGTTTGTGAGTTTCAGAACTGAGTGAATTAAACTTAAATGGAATGGCTTGTTAAATTATTACCTTATACTGCTGGAATCACTGGTTTCAGTGTAACAATCCCTGTTCGCTGACATGGGAGAAGGGGTATTTTTATAATAGTCTTGAGAATGCCGGAGGATTTAAAAGCTACATGGATTTGGATGATTTACCTTAAACTCCGGTGTTAGGCTTCAGAAAGCTCTTGAATCAGTGACGACAAAAATCATCGGCTTCACAGCGATACGGAGATAATGGTTCACTGAAATAGTTAAAGCGATGAATGAGCATTACCATGTAATTTGCTCATCTTTATTTTATTTCAGTCATTTTACTGTCAAGAGAGGAGACAACCTGATGGCTTCAAGATGCTATTTCGAATGTCATCACTTGACAATATAGCAGACAAAGCAAGGCCATACTGCCTGGCTTATCTAGAACAGTGGCAGCTTCCCTGATGACCCTGCTGTTTGACGAAGCTTGGATGGGACTTCATGAACTGGAGATAAAAGTTACTCAAATGCCACCTACGCTGTGACATTTTATAGCCTGTGATGGCGTTCGTGCCCTCTGTCTATCTGAACACAGATACCATGTCCTATGAATTACAATGAACTTCACAAGAATCTTCTAAACGTAATATTTCATTTTGGTGACAGGTACACTGTAAGTAATGCAATCACATACCCTCTGAATACTGTTTAAGGCTAAACCTTTTGTTTATATCCTGTATGTATACAGATATAGATAAAGTAGATTGCTAGATTAACAGATTAACAGCCCTTTGCTAACACATTAAGCTTATATCAATCAATCATTCAAGGTTTATTTATCAATGCATGAACAGTTCAGAATACACCGGTGTTGTCAGTGCTTTGAAATGCTTTGTCTGCGAGCTCGTTAAGAGGGATAGAAGAGTAGAAGGACAGGAATTTATAGGGATAACATTTCAAAGGGAATTTATAAGAAAAAAAATAGGATACAATAAATGACACAATTGCAGTTTACAATACAATTAACAGATTGTGTGAAAATAACACAAGGATAGGAGGTATATAGCGCTCTTCGTATGTGTCCTGAGAGTGACAGGATGACAGGGGGGCGCCGGTGCAGCTCTCAGTTCAAAGGGGTAACTGCAGGCGTCTGCAGTGGTTGGCTGTTTAGCAGTCTTACTTCCTGGGGGGAGAATCTGTTCTGGAACCTGCTGGTCTTGGTCTGTATACTTCGGTATTGATTTCCAGATGAAAGCAGAGAGAACAAGTTGAGGATAGGGTGACTGGTGTCCCAGAGGATAGACCTGGCCTTCTTGAAGCATCTAACAGAGTAGATATCCTCGACGTTCAGTAGCGCTGCTGGTAGTGTTTTGTGCTATTTTCACCACCCTCGGGAGTGCCTTGAGCTCTCGGGCGGAGCAGTTACCATACCAGGCAGTGATGCAGCCGGTTACGATCCTTTCAATGGTGCACCTGTAAAAATGTGTCAGGATGTTTGACTTATATTGTTTATATTGTACTGCACCGTTTAATTTGAAATTCCTTACAAGAAAGGACATGTTATTGTGTTTAGAATTCCTAAATTTCAATAATAAAGCTGTCTGTGCAGTGTGAAGGAACTTTTATGCATTCTATTTCGAATTGCCATTTTGCTACACCTTCTTACATCCTTCTGTCATAACTCCTGTATTGCTCAGAGAACGAGGAGGGGCAGGGCAGGCCAGACATTCAATATCTGAAATGCTGCAGGCTCCACAGCACCTGACAGGAGAGTTTCAGAAGATTGGGAAACTTCCGAGTCAGGTGATTGTCAGAAAAGCGAGAAAGCTCAGGCCAACCCATCTCAGCCCTACCGCTCAGCCCTGGGCCGTGACATTGACCAGTTGTGTGCTGTCAGTTGGTTAAATGTCATAACCCTGGATTCAAACTCATGATCTCTGGATCCTAGCTCTCAATCTGCACTTGGATTGTGCCTCTTTGCCTGTTTGAGATATGGGGTTGAAGCTGTCAATAGCAAAGTTTAGATGATTTCAAAACGTTAATCGAACCAACCAGGGCAGATGATGACGAATACATGAAAATAATTCAATGTCAAACACAAGCAATAGAGGATACACTTTCATTCTGTAGGTTATGGACTGTGTTTCGGCATTAATAACAGTATTTAATCTGGAATCAGCTACCTTTACAAAAATAAAACGTTTTCTTTTCTGTACATTCACACAGGAAACATTTCTGCATCACAGTTTTGAATTAAAAACTCACCACAATCACTTTTTCCCCATGTCCTTAAGTAGTTTGTAATTCCCTCTGTTGTAAAGATGAATAAGATGATCCATTAAGCTGCCCAACACAGGGACATCTTGGTATTTGAAGTTCTAATATTAACTTTAATTTCTATTTTTATTAATTTTGCATGGTAACCATTAGCATGCATTGAGATTTTACTATAATTGTATGTTCTGAGTGTTGAAACCCTTTGTTTCCTCTCTTGAATCTTTATGTTCTGATTATATTAATTGCTATAAATCAGAGCTTCTTACATCCTTAAGTCATCTCTGCTCAGTGCAACATTTGGAACCCTGTTAATCCACATTTTAAATATAGATATTTTCTCAGATTGAAGCTGTTCAGATTGATAAATATTTCATTTTATTTAAATGAAGGGGAATTTAAACTAAGAGTCTGTAGACTACATTATTAAAGCAAAACCTAAACAGATCTGATTGCTAATAATTCTTCTTTATTGTACTAGCCCATGGTAGGTTTCTCTGTCATGCTTATGCCTAAATAGCTTAACTCAATCCCCACCCTCTCTCCCTCCAAACATTCTGAGTCCTCAGATTAAAATACAGTATATAACTTGAAGTAGTTCAGGTGGGGAGCTGCATGCGTAGGCTGCAGAGGAACAAGGAATAAACCTATAACTTGTTCCTTTGCAGTATACTGTATACGTTACTGAATACCAGATATGCAAACTGAGACAAATTTCTACATAAACTCTTCAAAACTGATAATGCTTGCTTTTCTTCGCTGAATGACATTGAGCCTACATACATACTTCTCTATATCTGGTATGGAGATATAGAGTATAGAATATAGAGATATAGAATCTATATAGAGATATGGAATACCATATCTGGTATTCATTTACCTGGGAGTGCACATCGACGATAGACTGGAATGGTCTAAAAACATCGAGGCCATCTATAAGAAGGGACAGAGATGACTTTACTTCTTGAGGAGGCTCAGGTCCTTCAATGTATGTGGTAAGATGCTTCATATGTTCTATCAGTCGGTGGTAGCGAGTTCCATTTTCTACGCAGTGGTATGCTGGGGCCCTGGGATTAGAGCAGTGGATTCTAAAAGGCTGAAGAAGCTCATCAGGAGAGCAAGCTCTGTCATTGGGTCTGGACCCCTTGGAGGTAGTGGCTGAGAGGAGAATGGTGTCCAAACTAGAGGCCATCATGGACAAC